ACATCGGAATAGGAGTAGGCGATTCAGCCCCTTGAGCCTGTTCTGCCATTCTGTTAGATAATGGTTGATCTGTACCTCAACTCTAATTGTGTCTGTACCACCGGTTAAGTAATGAAACATGTTGAACGTGAGAGAGAGAAAAAAAAGCAATGGAAATTTCCATTTTAAATAGGAGGTAGATTGATGGGATCATGGGATGGATTAATGCACGGAATGCAATAAAGTTCAGGTCACACTGATGAGAAGGGTTATTCTTCCATCTGTTCACCACCGTCTACCTCACAGAGCGAGAGAAAGAGAGAGAGAGAGAGAAAATGTTTATGGAGAAAATGTCACCACATGCAGAATGCTAAATAATTCATGGTAACATAATAATAATAATAATAATAATCCTTGCATTTGATATAGCGCTTTTCACGTCGGGAGGACGTCCCAAAGCGCTTCACAGAACACACTGTAAAGTGAATTGACTGTATATTTGTAGGCGAATATACATAGAATATACATAGAACATAGAAAACGTTGGAAATGGATTGTTCTTTTCTCTGACTGACGCTTTGAGATATCTTCTCCGCTAATCTCTAGGCTCGAAACATACGGTTTGTCAGCGAATAACTAAATGAGAAAATTACATGCAAAAAGGATAATGTTTTTCCTCCAATATCCCAGAGAAGCGTGGACCCTTTAAGGTTTATGTTCCTTTCTTGGCAACTGCTGTGACATTTGGGATTCTTGTAACGGTGGCATATCAGTTGACCTTTATTAATAGCCTGGCATTGTCATTATCCCCCACTCATGTTGGGTTGTGTTGCCATTAGTGGAGAGGGTCCTGGTTGTATCCTGGTTGGTTGTTTGTTCTTAGACTACCTGGCTGTAAATCTCCGCGGGTTTTATCGACTGAACCCTTTGGAAAGTGTAGTAAGTAGGTAGGAACCCGGTTGTTAGTCAATTGGCGGATCGCTTTTCCAGGTGTAATAATTCCTTCAAAAAATAATAATAATGAATTGGTCACTTCAATCCACGACAGTTCGTGGGACGCTGCTGTGCGCAATTGGCTGCCGTGTTTCGCTCACAAAATATACAGTCAATTTACTTTACAGTACATTCTGTGAAGCGCTTTGAGACGTCTCGAAGACATAATAAGGCGCTGTATCAAATGCAAATATTATTATTACAAAGAAATCTTTGAAAACTTACTAAAGCTCTGTCGAAAAGTTAAATTGTACATTTGAGAGACCTGGAAACACAGCTCCAAACTTTATTACAAATCTGATTTATCCTCCGTGGTTTTGCAAACCTATTTTATTAACATTCCAGCGGTGGTAGTTTATGTTGAGAATCCCTGGAGAGATGCCGTTTTGGTGCGTGTAGGTTGTGCTCTGCCACTGGTAATGGCAACCTTGCTCCAGCACAGCTATAAAATATTCAAGGACAATTATTGATAGCCGGCTGCACAGGAGCAAACAAATTACCCGGGCCCTTTAATAACTGCAAAATGATTTATGCGGCTGAATGCCCCTAGGATTGTTCACAAAGACTGCATAATTCCATTGCATGCCTCGAAACTGTACATTAATTATTGTAATATTGTCTGAGTTGCTAGATACCCGTTCAATTTCTATCCAGTTGGATTATTAATTCAAACTCAAAGTCACTGCATCACAGTTATGAAACATCACCAGAGAGCGGTGAATAGGATTTGGGGACTATTTGAAGAAGTGAGTGCAGTTTTTTTCCAAAGGTGTCTGTAGACGATATTCCACACCCCCCACCGCCCCACCTCCCCCCGACTTCTCCTACACACCTCTATTCCCTTACCCCTCACATATGCGTCAAGTTTGGAACACATTGATGCTGCCTCCAATACTGTAATGTCTCCCCACCCCACTCCCCTTCCCACCAGTACTGACCTGGAATGTCCGCAAGTTCAAAGTCCCCATCTCAGGGCTCAAACCGACAATGGTCTGACTCAGAGCTAAGACTGCTACCAACTGAGCCAGGCTGATACCTGCCTATCTGAGTGAGTCATTGTGTACTTTGTGCCTTTGCCCATTGCAAGGAGTGCCCCTTGGACTTCTGTCAGAGACATATTGCCAATTTAACGGGTTTGCAGGGTTACAACGCCAATTTACTAAGAGAGCGTAACTGTTGTCCACAGAATTTAGAAATCAATTGGAATATTGTTTTTGATGGAACAATGAACTTCTCAGGATTAGGTATCGATCTCAGAGGCTGATCCCTCCAGGTGCACTGAACGCCTGCTAATCTCATTGGTTTATTCATAAAGCCTTTAATTAGCCACAGTGCTTTCAACAGCAAAGGAACTCGTTATTTCAGAACTGATCATGACCCATAATTGTCACCCGCGATCATATCAAAGGGAGGGGAAAAAAGCCGACTCCGCAGTTTTTTTTTTGGTCTGTCCCGCACATTGGTTACTTATTGCTCTTTGTTTTTGATGCAGTTGGGCTTTGACCAGTTTAGTGAACTAGCAAAGAAGATTGTTCACTTAGTGAAATTTGTTGACTTGGGTCGTCTGATTGAGATCAGCAGCCAAAGTGTTGAAGAAGTTAATTGGAGGACGGCAATTGTGAAAGAACTTTTACAAGAACAACAACAACAAGATTTTGTTTATAGAGGGCCTTTCACGTCGGGAGGACGTCCCAAGGTGTTTAATAACCCGAAGGAGTAAAATCAAACTGGGAGCTCAAATGCTGTATGTCGTCAATAGCACTAGAGGTGAATGCTGGAAATTGACCGTTGAGAAGGAAGATTGGAGATGCTTCTGAGTTGGACAGGAAGAATGAGTAATGAGAGGGGCCTTGAACTGGAAAAGGGCTGAGGCTGAAACATGATGAGACAGCTCAACAACAACTTGCATTTATATTGCAACCTTCGCAGGAGATAGGTAGCGTCTCAGAGTGCTGAACTATGGTGTAGCTTGAGGCCAAGCCAGGGAGAAAGGAGAGGGGACTGTGGGTAGGGTCAATTTTGGGGGGGTCACCTGGGTGTCTGACACATGCAGAAACCCATTACCATGCTTAAGAACATCCGAACCAAACCGAGAATTCCATGCATCCCACCTATGCACGGAAATTTCAGGGAATAGAATGCGTATTCTCTCCCTGGAGGACCACATCATGCTCACCCAATTCTGGAAAGTATTAGGCACAGGTTGGCAAGAGCCAAGGCTTGGGGACATCAGAGTGTGTGAGAGCAGATCAATGAAGAATGTCTTCAGGTGCGAGTTCCAAAGATTCAGGATGCAGTGGCCAAAGGTTCGGCTGATGACATCCTCTGGGCAGGTGATTTGGGAGTCACAGGGAATGCACCTGTCTGAATAAATTAATGGCAAAGAATCTAGAGGCTGCCAAGGAGTGTGGGGATAATGCCATGATGGATTGGGCATGTGCGAAACCTGGGGCTAATAGAAGCTCTTCGTATCCCAACCAGGTAGTGTGGAGTGAAGCTGGGCTCCTTTTCTCCCTAGAAGAGAAAGGCACACGACAAGGTAGTGCAAGGCTGAACACGTTCGAATGAAAACGTCTTAGGAGAAGCTTTGAACTACAGTATCAAAGGATTGGGTTGCCAGGATGTAATTTTAATAACCAAGTGTGGACAATACAAATGTTAAATAGTTAGGCAGCTGCAAGGTGCGAAATCTGTAATAATTTAACAATTAGAGGCTTGCATAAGCACTGTTCATATTAAACTATGTAAAGTCACCTTGACAACTTGTAATTACCCGGTCATCTTATTTCCTATTAACTGAGCAAGACAGATCTAAATAGATTTCTGGAGCAACCAGATGGTGTGCGCATTGTGTGCTAACTGAATGGTTTATTTTTGTTTTTACCTTTACTTTACTTCCTTTGTCCTGTTTCTTTTCTTATGTTAATCCAAACATGATTTTATCAGGATTGTGAGAAAATGGTCTTTACTGTCTTGAGGACGTACAGCGTTGGGTTTATTTTTTTGGGTGGCCAATCTGGGTCAGCTCTGCTTCCACCCGCACTCTCCATTTGCATTGAGCATTTCATAGGTTTTTGGCTTCAGGCTGTAATAGTTCCCTTGGAGCCACTTTTCTGCTCCAATCAGAGAAATATTGTCATTGGGTGAAGCTTACGATGTTAATTAATACAGGCAACGTGTTCTGAAATGCCACAAACCTTATCCCTTTCTCACTCAACAGTAACTTTGTCTTCCCTTCCCTTCCTCCCAGCACTGAATGGGACCAATATTGTATTTCACGCTGTAAAGCCCTGACACAGTGACTCTAGCGTCTAGTTCGGCTGAGTCCAATGAGATGGAATGCTTCTCTTAGCTATGTCACACTAGACTGTAGTCCCATGAAGGATGGTACCTCTAACAATACAACAACGCAATTACATTTGTATAGTGTCTTTCACGTTGGGAGGATGTCCCAAGGTGCTGGACAATCAACTTTTCGGACCTGAGCTGGGGGTCATGATTGAGGAGGGTGGAGGGCAGAGGGCGAAGGAAGGTGATCGAAAGCACGGTCAAAGTGGAGGGTCTCGAGATGGGTCTTGAAGGAGGCAAGGGAGGGGCAAGGTAGAGAGAATGCGGGAGAGTTCCAGAAGGTGGGAGCAGAGTGGCTGAAGGCCCGCCCGCTTATGGTCGGGTGGGCGAGGCGAGGGAGGTGAAGTGGCCAGAGCTCACTGAGTGGAGGGAGCGGGCAAATTGTAGAGGGTTAGGAGGTCGCAGAGGTAGGTGGCAGCAAGGCCATGGAGGGCTTTGAAGGTGAGGACCAGCATTGTGCTACGGTGGAGTGATAGCCCAGACAATGTGAGTTCAAAGTCCCGATGCCGAGCCTGAACCTGCAACTTGCGGGGCGAGGCCGCTACCGACTGAGCCAGTGTGGGAGTGACACCACACATACACACACACACACACACACACACAGACCCACTGAGGGTCTGACAACCAAGCTAATCGCAGCTGCACAAAAAATGACACCGTCTCCTTTTCATTTCTCTCAGGAAACCAAATTCAGCTGCGTAAGACTGGCAACAAAAGGTATGGAAGTTTCCTTTATCTCTCTTTCCTTGTCTTGTTTGAGTTCAGCGACGACAGTGGCAACAACAACAAAAAAAGCAATTTTCTTCCTATTTTGTCTCGAGGAGAGAGAGAGAGAGAAGGAGAGAAAGAGAGATCCTCAATCAGGGCTTGATTAAGTTGGTTACTAAAGTGCCACCCTCAGTTCTGCATGTTGTTTCCTTTTGTGATTAACACAGTCTGTTGCAGTATTTCCCGTGAGACCCAGCTATTTCGTTTACCCGTGCGACCGCAATGTTGCTTTGCACCTGTACTCGATTTTCATTTTGTGTGTGCATGACTTATCATTCTTCTGCTTGGAGTCATCTTCATCTCGGGAGCGTTAAGAAAGGCTACATCCCATGTCTAACACCCCGTCATTTCTCAACACAAGTGACCTTATTTACTTTGCAATGTTTTTCATGATCGCAAGCAAAAAAGCTACGACAGCTAAAGTGAACTCCATTGAAACTGCCTTCAGTTCCCATTTCTTCGTTCAGGTCCTCCATTACCCCCCACACCCCACCACCCCATGTTTCTCGCTGCCGCAGTTGATTGATTATTTTGCCCGTCCGTTGCCTGCCCGTTAACATCGCGCTTCTCCTTACAGACGATTTTCAAGAAAATCAAAGGCAAAGTTATAGCACGGCATCTCCATTTAAGAGAACGGCCATAATTTATTCTCCCAACATCGGAGATTAGAGACAGCAGAAGGCGGTATCATTAAAACTGTAATCTGAAGTGATTGGTAATTTCTCGAGGGGAGGGGAGGGAGTGAGGGGAAATCCAGATTGTTTATAGGACGGGGGATGTAAGATATTATCAAAGCATATTTCCTCTTGGTAGACTTGCTTCTTTCTTTCTTCTCTTATGCATGCCGACCTGGACTTTTCCCTTTGTCTTAACGCTAATAGGTAGGATACAGATAACTACACCGTACATACTTGTCATCCCAAGTGCAGGTGATTATTAACTCTCGAGTCAGCGATATCTATATGCCTGTCCAGCCTTATGCAGAGTTCTGCTTGTAAAATGTTATCCGCGAAAACAATCCACTTTTTCTGGGAGTTTTGGGGTCTGTCTTTTTGCCCTTGAGGGTAACTGCTGGAGTCTTAAATGGTTAAAACCCCCATCGCTTGTCATTGAGAGCACTGCCTGGGAAGCATTCCAGTTGCTTGTCCAGCTAGGACCGTTTGGCTTACAGGGTTGATGTGAGATGAGTGGGAAGAACCCTTACCCCCTCCCAAGTCCTGCCGATGAGCTAGGCTGGGCTAGGCTGTCATCGGCTGTGTCCTGGAGTACTGTTGACCTGCCTGGATCAGGACCCGGACACCCATGAGAGCACTCGCCTCGCAAGTGAGAGGACTTGGGTTCGATTCCCGGGCAGGGCGAAACATTGGGGAAGTTTTCTTACTCCACAGGCTTCTGTTTACCTTGCAGTAAGTAGGAACCCAGTTGTTAGTCGATTGGCAGATCACTTTTCCGAGGCGTAATGATTCCATAAAAAAAAATAATAATAAAATCAGTCACTCAATCCACGACTGTTTGTGGGACACTGTTGTACGCAATTGGCTGCCGCGTTTCACCCATAAAATACAATCAATTCACTTTACAGTATATCCTGTGAAGTGTAGATAAGGCCCTGTATCAAATGCAAGGATTATTATTGTTACTATTATCCAAGACTGCCACAGAGGGTGGACTCAATTCCAACATCCCGTTGCCAAATACGTAAGCTTGGAGGAGGCCACCATGTTATTTGCCGATGGAGATGACATTGCCGTGTTTCTGTGGTGGGGCTCACTCCCCCCCAACACACTGACCTCAGCCTCCCGAGGTACTGGAGAGGTGGGACATCGACATTGCTGTGCGTAAATCGGCTGCTGCGTTCCCTTGCAAAGTACACAATCACTACACTTTGGAGTAAGTCCTTTGAGAGGACATGAAAGGCGCAGCATGAAATGCAATATTCTTATTTTTTCAGCCTATTATGAAAGCTCTTTTAGCCCCCCCACCACTGTTCAAACAGTGGGCGTTGTGTTTGTGTGTGTGTGTGTGTTTGTGCAAATGACAAGTGGACAGATTGTTGCTCGATGGTTAGTTATGACATTGCAAGGGCCTGATTGATTGCAAATATGCTTTGTTTTAAATTTATGAAGTGTCTCTGTAATCCATACTGATGTGCCTTGCGGTGTACTGGAAGGTTCATCTGTAGCAGACTCATTCTTCACACTTCAGTGCAATGTTACCTGCGCCGCTCATTTATTGAGGACAGTAATATGATGGTATGACAGGAGTAGGCAGGTGCTTTGGCAAGGCTCGGCCAGCCAAGTCACAAAGGAGGGGCGCTATCTCTGCATGCAACGACCTCAGGCATGTATCACACACTTGCCTCTGAGACGTGAACATGAGAGACTGCACAGGTTACAGCCTTTCCCCCCAGCCCCACCCCTCCCCACCCCCACGCCCCTCTCCACAGTTGGAACGATTGATAGAGGTGCTTAAAATCTAAAGGCTTTAATAAGGTGAACCTTAAACAAACCATTTCTACCCATTGGTGAATCCAGACCACGAGAGTATAAATGTCAGACAATAGGAATTGTAACAATAATCCTTGCACTTCCTATAGTGCCTTTCACATTGGAGAGACGTCTCAAAACAATTCACAGGATATACTCCGAAGTGTAGAGACTTTGTATTTTGTAGGTGACTGCGGCAGCTAATTTGCACCCAGCAATAGCCCACAAGCAGCCATGAAGTGAATGACCAATTTTATTCAGGAGATTTTAGGCCAGGACACCAGGAGAAGCTCCCTAAATTCAGGGCGACCAACATGTCATGAAGCTACCCTATTATCTATAAAAATATATATATATCAGCATTTCTTTAAGGTTTATCAGATATTGTAATATTATCATGACTTTTTGGTCACTCTGTAGAAATGAGCAGATCTGAAACAGTTTAGGAGGAATTTCTTTATACAGTGGGGACTGGGAATGTAGAACTCACTGCTGGAAGTTCTGGTTGAAGCAGAAAGCATCAATGCATTTAAGAGGAAATTCCATGCATACATTGAGGGAGGAAGGAATGGAAGGCTCTAGGAGAGGGAAGTGATTAGGAGTCTCATGTGGAGTATAAAGAACAGCACAGACTAGTTCTTGATAATAATAATAATAATAATACTCTGTGTTTGATGTAGCGCCTTATCACGTCTTCGAGACATCTCAAAGCACTTCACAGAATATACTGTAAAGTGAGTTGACTGTATATTATGTGGGTGAAACGCTGCAGCCAATTGCACACAGTAGCGTCCCACAAAAACAGTCATGGATGGGGCGACCAATTTATTCTGATTATTATTTTCTTGAAGGGATTATTACCCCAGAAAATCGATCTGCCAGTCGACTAACCGCTGGGTTCCTACTTAATGCTACAGATTCATTGTGATCTATCATCCATTTGCTCTGCCTTCTCACGAAACTTTGGCAAGTGCTTTCGCCAACAGCATTCTCCTTCAACAAATGTTGTTTGTCGGAGGCTGCATGAGTAATAGTTCATAGGCCAGGACATTCTAGTTTCAGATGATAACACATTCCATTTGCTTTCCATCTTCCTCACAATTTATTTCCAGACGGGGAAAGTAATCAGCAAACTGTCATCACGGGGAAACAGAATTCTGTTTTCAATTATCCCACCTAGTTAAAACTTTCAGAACTTCTCAAGAGGAATTATTTGTGTAAAATAAAAACACACAAAAGAAAATGAAAAACAACTCTCATTGTTTGAGAATATAGGAAAGTGCTGGACTGAAAATAATAATAATAATCTTTACATTTGATATAACTTCTTTCATGTCAGGGTGACGTCTCAAAGCACTTCGCGGGATAAACTAAAGTGTAGTGACTGTGTATGCTATGGGTGAATATAGCAGACAATTCGCGCACAGCAATGTCCTACAAATAGCCGTGTAGTGAAGGACAAATTTTATCTGGCAGATTGATGGCCAGGACATTTGGAGAAACTTTCTTCTCTTTCGAATATCGCCAGAGGATCTTTAATGTCCACCTGAACATGCACAGACGGGGCTTTGGTTCAGTGTCTCATCTAAAGGGTGGCACTGCATTGGAGTGTCAGCCTGGATTATGTGAGCTAAAGGTCTCGCACAATTTTTTGTGCGTCGTCCTGGCTCAGTCAAGGGGTACGCTCATCTCTGGGCCCATTCCCACTTCGAAAATCGGTCGTTCACGTCACAGCTATTTGTGGGACATTACTGTGTGCAAATTGGCTGCCGCGTTCACCTGCAAAATACGCAGGCACAGGAACTTAGGCTGTTTCAACTTGTCCAGAATTGTAGAACCAGAGGACACAGCCTGCAATTGAAGAGGGGTAAATTCAGAACAAATTATGCAAACACCAATTCAGTGAGCGAATAGTGATACCTGTGGAACAGGCTCCCTAGGGAGACATTTGAAGCAGGAAGTGTTGATTCCTTCAAACACACATTAGGAAATAACATTATGGGATATAGTACATAGTTAGTTTGGGACATGTGTGCCTGCGACCACCAGGAAGGCGGAGGGCGAACGAGATGGACCTTTGTCTTTTTTCATCCAGCATTTCTTATGTTCTTTTGTTCTTAAGTTCTAATAATCCTTGCATTTGATATAGCACCTTATCACATCGTTGAGATGTCTCCAAGCGCTTCGCAGAATATATTGTAAAGTGGACTGACTGTGTGTTTTTGGGAGAAACGTGGATGTGTTGTGCTACCTGTGAACCCGAGCCCAACAAAGCTTTGTTTCAAAGCAATATCTCTATCTGCTAGGCTTCACTGTTATTATGGTTTGAATTGCACCGTCGGGAATTTCTGCTGCGGGCTGTGCATTGAGAGCAAGTTATGCGTGAAAGTGAAGAGACGAGCGGTGATATGTGTTTTGTGCCTATTGTCTATTTCACTCAAAGCAACCAGCTAAGAGTTGAACAAAATGATCGCTTCCGTGCTTCTAATGACAAGGTAGTGTTAGTGCACTTAGCACTGAACGGAATTGTGAAATCGCGACATTTCCTGTTCACTCTTGTGGCGTGTTAGAATTATGAATTTGTTGCTTATTTTTGATCCAGAACAGCGTAGCGTGTGATATCCGATGGCTCCAAATGACATTAGTCAAGGATGCCCCGTGGTCAAATTGCCCTTCCGATTTTTTTTCCTGAGCTGAACCCCTGTTCTTCTTCCTCTGCCGTGATCTTATTTTGGGGTCTGCCATAGAATCATAGAACGTCCAGCACAGAACGAGACCATTCAGCTCATCGAATCTGCTTCAGCTCTCAGAGCAAGCTGTTCATTCAGTCGCACTGGCCTGCCTTATCCCCATACCCCCTTCAAAACTTTCATGTAGCTGTCTACTATATCCACGACTGTTTGTGGGACACTGCTGTGCGCAATTGGCTGCTGGTTTTGCTCACAAAATCCACTTTATGATATATTCTGTGAAGCACTTTGAGTCATCGGAACGATGTGATAAGGCACGATATTAACAGCAAGGATTGTTATTAAATGCAAATGCAAATATTATTTCTTCCCTCTTGAAACCCACGACAGACTCTGCCTCTACCAATTTCGTTGGCATGGAGTTCCACGTCCCCACAACCCTCTGAGTGAAGACATTCTCCTAAAATCAAGCCGTGAGTTAGCTTATGGGACGTTTAGCATATGGTGTGGCTCTGCCTTGAGCCAGCTTGCTATGAGCAATTACGACCGTATTTCTGTCTCATGTTTGAGAATGCTGAACGAGTGATTCAAGCCTGCTGCCCAGTGGCAATTTTGATGGCAAAGATTTGTGATTGGAGCCACAAGATGAAGAAGAATAGAGTTGGAGAAGTGCTAGGTTAATAAATCTCCGCTTTGAATGCATATTACTTTCATATAATACAAGTTGTCACCGTCATTGACTGGACGACTGTGTAAAAAGGTAGTCTAATGATTTATTCATTATCTCGGATACAAATCGCCCTGCACAGCACTCAGCTCCTGGGCCCTTTGTGTGGGTTTATCCATATCAATTCACTTCTCCTTTACAAATTTGGATTTAACCAAACAGAAGCATTTGATCACATTTCAAACAGGGGGAAGCCATTCAGCTCATCGAGCCTGCTCTGCCACAGGACACTCCCCAGTCCCACGTCGTACAACCTCCCTCCTTTCCCCTCTCTATCTGACCCCTCTTTTTCTTCCCCTACAAACAAAAGCACAAATCAGAACAGTGGCTTGGACACTCAATCCACGACCGTTTGTGGGACACTGCTGTGCGCAATTGGCTGCCACATTTCGCTATGTCAAATGCAAGGATTATTATTAGTATTATTTTTATTAATTCCACCTCCCCGCCATATCCCCTAATGTTTTTACAATCAAAGTAGCTCCCCGTCTCTCTCCTAAACTGATTTCTTACCTCTGACTCTCTCTGACTGGCTCGCTCCCTCCCTCACCTTGTTCAAGGCCCGTCTGACATCGTACCTCTTTGACCGCACTTTCGGGGATCTTTCCCCACCCCGCCAGTCCCCTCTGTTCCAACCTCCACCTCGGTGCCTGGCTGGCACCGTCAAGTGCTTCCAGAAAGGCACTGTATAATGTGAAAGGCACTGTATAAGTGTAAATTGTATTGTGTTACACAGCCTCCACTACTGTATCGGGTGACATTAATCCATCATGGCAGAACGATGAGTTTTAGTGACCACTTGAACTGTGTTGATACACTAGCTCTGAGCTTTGAGGAGAAGATATAACTGGAAACAAATGAGATTATTGTGAGTTCCTCAGGCGATTTGGTTCAGTGGAGAATTCTGCTTTCTGTTCCACCCCGTAATCCCAGCAATTAAAATACTAAAAGTTTGAACGCGATTCAAAGGTTCCACTAAGCCAAGGAAAATACCAGTTTAAGACTGACCCTAATTTAATGTTTTTGTATTTTTTTTCTCAACCAGACCATGGAAATGTTTTGCTTTTGCACAAAATGACGAGCAAAGATAGTGATTTGGTCAACCACTCCATGGCAGCTTGTGGGACATTGGCGAGGGGCAATTAGCTGCCATATTGTGCCCACAAAATACACAGTCAATACACTTGACATTGTCATAGAGTCATAGAATACTACAGCATAGAAGAGGGCCATTCGGACCATTGTGCTTGTGCCGGCTCTTTGGAAGAGCTACGCGATCAGTGCCACTCCCTCCGCTCTTCCCCAAATCCTTGTAAATGAATATATATCCCGTGAAGTGCTGTGAAACATCGATAAAGCGTTAATGGGCAACTAACAGGGAACGTGTCATCGGTGAGGGTCGTCGGGCTGTGGCAGAAGTGTCCGGATAAGGAGCTTCGAGGACAGAATCCAGCGCGATGCGCGTGCGATTGCGACTGCGATTGCGATTGTGATCGCTCCCGCACTCCAGTCTGCCTTCCTGGCTTGCGTGTGAAGCAGCAGTGCCTTTTGTTTGACAATCACAAGCGTGGCGGCAGGCGTTAGAGGGTTCGGATGTGTGTGATGGAGTGGTGGCGACCGCTGTGAGCAGCTGCTGCTCACACTCTCCCAGGCACAGGCGGGCAAAGCATCGACCGCCTGTGACACTAATCCGACAGTGATTGATTTTCACGAATCCCATTCCGGCCCGTCGTACCTGGCTGGTGTCCCGATACCGCCTCGCGCACGCTCGTTCCCCAACCCCCAACCCCGCACTCCGCTCACTATTCCAAGAGCTCGCAGCCCTGTGCTCATGCTCCTGCTCTGGCCATCTAAGTCGTGACTGCCTCCAAGCAGTCAGTGAGGTAACGAGCCAAGCAATATGCTGTGCGTCACGGCCCATTGCGCTGTTGGGAGATGTTTCCATCTGGCTTGTTGGATTTGGTTCAGCGCCTCCTTTATTTTTTACCCGATTGCCAGGCGTGAAACCACGTAATGTTTCGCAGAGCCTGTCTCCCTCTCCCTCCGCCCCTCGGTCCAGATCTCTGAGGTTGAATGGCGAAGCGCAAATTTGTTCTTCCGTCGGTTGCAGAGCCTGAAGTCATCTGAAGGATGCTCTTGCTTGACCATGAATTGCAGTGAACCCCGTGTGCGTGTCTGTAAGGCGGACGCGGCAGCCAGTTTGCGCGCAGCGAAGTCCCGCAACGGAGAGAGTGGACATTTTTTATCTGGAGGCTTCTCGGCCAGGACACCGGGAGAGAGAAACTCTTCGCTCTATTCGAGTCATGACCATTCCCCCAGATAATACCTATCGTTGAAAGGAGCTGCACAGTTCCACGACCTCTCCAGTCTTCACCCAAAGTAGCCATTCCTCATACGCAGACTGAGAATTAGTGCCTTCTGCCTCCTTAAGCAACCCAGTGAAAAAATAATCTGGTTTCTATTGAAAATCCTTAAGAATTAATTTAGGCCCATTCTCCGTCAGCAACCTGGGTGGGTGGGAGAGCAGTTAAGCCACCCTGATTGGCTGCTACATCTGTCTTTGGTGACTTTATTACCTTCTTGTGCACTTCACAAGAAATCCCGCGGGTTGGTAACACCGTCTCAAGCGTGTTTCACTTCCGCTTTCTTTCCCGAAAGCATTGATTGACGACTCGTGATGAGTCCTGGAAGTTCTCGTGAACCGGGCAAGAACTGGAGGGGGTGGGGGGAGGAGAGGGGGAAGATGTAGGGGGGAAGCGGGGAAGTGTGCGGGGGTGAAGGGGAGGGGGAGACAGAATCCACCCAGCTTTCGGATCTGGTTGACCCGCAGCACGATCTCATTTCAGGCGCATCGACGCAGAACGCCAACACGGTGGAGCCGGAGAAACAAGCGGATAATACAGTGAAAATGGCCGGAGTGGTGGCCGGAATATTGATGTTTGTGATCATCATGCTGGGAGTGATGCTGGTCGTTAAAAAACGGTAGGTTTTGTTTTTCGTGGTTTGTTTTGCTGTTTGTTGCGAAAGGATGGATGACCATAGAACCAGAGAAATTTACAGCACAGAGGAAGGCCATTCAGCCCATCGGGTCTGTGCCGGCTGGTTTAAAGAGCAAGACCATTTACCTGCTTTCCCCCACTGCTCCCGGCAGCGCATTCCATATCCTAACTACTCTGTGTGTGAAAACATTCCTCCTAACCTCCCCGTTCGCTCGTTTGCTAACTTAAATTGATGTCCTCTGCTCACTGACTCACCGACTAGCGGAAATCATTTCTCCCCATTGACCCCGTCGAGACCTCCCCTCATTTTTTTAAAGCCCTCGATCAAGTCGCTCCTCACCCGCTTTGTTCCAAACGGAAAAAGCGGATGATAGACAAATAACAATGGACAAACCTGGTTGTTTTGTCTCTGTCGCACTCAGAGCAAGAGGGCAGAAATGTGAGACGCAGAAGAAAAAAAACAATGAATTTTTATATTATTCCCCACTTTTCTCTAGGTTTGGCAAGCTGAATCAATTCTGAACATGCATTAAAATGTGATTTAAATACTATTTCACATTCGCATAGTCGTGCATGCATGAATGCAAATAGATGGCGTCTCCAGCAATTTATTCTGTCACTTCCAAGATGGATATCGCCAGGCTGCACATTTGACCCAAGCATTTGACTCACATTGGTTCCGCTTAACTGACTAGATTCGGAGACGCTGATCAAATTGTTTTCAGTTTTCCGTTTAAACAGCTCACAATACAGCGTCGCTCAAGTCTCAAAGTGAAAAAAACATAGGACTGAAATAATGAGTGCAAAAAAAAACCTTTATGAAAGCTATAAACACAGTCAAAGAGGGGAAAGGTTCTGAGCTCCCAAATAGGTGTAGCGTGTAAAGTTCTGTTTGTGTGGGGAGGAGTGTGGGAGAGAAGGTGGTGGGGGGGGGATTAAAAATTGTTTCATAAGTCATTCCACGTGGTAATAAGAGTTCCATTAACTCATCGAATCTGTTGTGAAATGCCATTAGGTTGGTGTCTTGTTTTATTCCCCTCTCTCATTCCCTCACCCCCAAAAAGGTTGTTCCAATCCCAAAGTACAAATTAGGAGTAATTTCACTTTTTGGCGAGTTTCAACAGAAGTTGCGTCTCAGACAGGGACGTATCCAATGTAACCAATGTTAGGTTTTGAAACCTCGAGCTTACTTGAGTGGGATAAGAAAAATAATGTACAAACCTTGGCTTAACTCCGACAAGGTTCAACTTTCTTTTTAAATAATTTTGTCACAATCCTGGCTGGCCACCCGAGTTGGGGGTCGGAGCCAAGGGGAGGGGTTTGGGGCAAGGGGAAAGATGTCCGAAAGTGCAGTCAAAGAGATAGGTCTTGAGGCGGACCTTGAGGTGAGCGAGTGAGTTGGACGGACTCCAGGATGGAGTTCCAGAGAGTGAGGGTAAAGAGGCTGAAAACCCACCTGGTAATGGTGGGGAAAAAAACAACAAATTGCATTTATATAGCGCCTTTCACGTCGGGAGGACTTCCTAGGGCGCTGGAAAGAAAAGATATGGAAGGGTGTATGAGGGGAGAGGGGCGAATGGTCGGTAGATATTATATTGTGATGTTGGCCATGCAATTTGTAACATTGAATGGAAACTTTACCCCACAGTCAGGATGGGTGGAACAATCTTCCCCCCACCACCCCCATGCTAACTAAGCAGCTACGTCAGAGAGCCGGGGCAGGCATGGCCTCCTTCTATGCTGCACATTACAAATGTTTGTATTAATGTTAATAATGTTATTAACTCTCCCACCAAACCCTCCCCGCCCCTGGCTGAGATCGGAGAGTTAGTCATCTACATGTTAATAATCCTAGAACAACTCCCAATTATGCTTTTTAGGAAATTAAAGCAAAATTGTTCCCGTCTGTCCCCCTCACCCCCATTCTCCCTTTACCCCCACTTACCCTCCCCCCACAATGTTTTTTGGTTTGCTCTCAAAGATGTCTGCTCTCAAGTTGGGATGGGAGGGAGGGGAGAGAGACAGAGGGAGCTCTAAGCCAGTAAAATGCACAGTCAATCCACTTTCCTGTTCATCCTGTGAAGCGCTTTGAGACGTCTCAACGACGTAATAGGGCGCGATATCAAATGCAAAGCTTAACATTAAATCCATTGCATTGAATTGAATTTTATTGAATTGAATTCCAGTGTCTTGGGACGTCCTTCCGATGTGAAAAGTGCTATAGAAATGTAGATGTTGTTGTTGTTGAATCTGACAGTGCTATAAGCAACAAGAATCATACTGAAGGAATCTATGTGTGTGCTACCACCTGAAGTGGAATTACTATCCTTAGTCCCGGGTTTTGTCTTGTAGGAGCCAGACTGTATGTTGTTATTCAGTTCTTCACCGAGGTTAGTATTGTTCAGTACCAGAGAGCAGGAGTGGTGCTGACTGAGTAATTGGGAGGGAGATCTGTGAAACAGCGAGACATTTTGAAAGCTGAGTCTTTTGATAATGGGGAACCGCGTGAGGTTTCTTTTGACAAGAACGAGATTTATTGGAATGAGTACCTTGAACAAACCTGGAGGTACTGTTTGCAATGAAATTTCGTTTTCAAAATCCATCTGTCAATAATAATAGACCCCCTCGATAGGGCAACTATTGCTAGTAGGTTTAGGAAGAGGATCACAAGGGGGAAATAAAGGGGAAGAATTAACAAGCAGCTGACGGCAATTGGTAAACATAAGAAGCACATAGGAACAGGAGTAGACCGTTCAGCCTCTCAAGCCTTTTCCACCATCTATCAGATCGTGGTTGATCTAGAGCTCAATTCCAAATTGGAGTACTTTAACTCCAAATCAGCCAAGAGGGAGGAAGGGAGCAAGGGAGGGAATGAGGGTGTGAGGGAACGAGGAAGGGAGGGAATGAGGGAGGGAGTGATGGAGGGAGGGAGGGAGCAGGTGAGCGAGCGAGGGAAAGCATTAAACTCCATAGTCAGGAAAATCCTCGTGTAAAAGCGAAGCTCGGGAGCCCAACATGTAAAACCACCCAATGCATTTTAAGTCAATTTAATGTGACAGTGAAATGATTTCTCTGTTAAGTCTCCCTCCCTCCCTCCCTTCTTCCCTCCCTCGCCCGCCAAGCCTTGCTGGCTGTTTAATCATTGATCGCTTTAGCTGCCAGTTTCACTAATGACCATTCAGCATTTGCTCGATCCTCGATGAAGATGTCATTTAGGAAACATTTGCCACTCAAGAGTGGTGACGGATGTTAAGTCGCAAGAAACAGACACTGGATTTCCTGAGGTCTCCCTTGAGGGACACTTTCTAAAGGGGCTAAAGAGATTTCATTACAGGCTGTCTCTGTTTACCTGAACTCTTAAAATTCCCCAGCACAGACAGATTTTATTTATTTTCCCTTCCACCAAAACTTCCCACCGTCAATAACACGGCCTTTCCACTCCTGTCCTGTTATCCTGGGTGGGAGGGAGGTTCGGGATTTTATCCAGCGCAATGCATTGACCCATTCTTGGAAGCGTTAACCATAAATAAAAGCAAAACAAGAAAGAACGTTTGAAACCTTTTCATTACCCAGAATGAATTTGAACGATTTTTTTCCCCTTTTTTTAAGCAAAGAAAAAGAAATGAATTATCCCCGAGTTGTTTGTTTAACGCTCGCTCAAATAAGACGGCAGAAATATTATTTTTAATAGCACGTGTACGAAAAATAAATAGTTTGAGAATGGCAATCAGAGAGAGGGGAAGAATAAAGAGAGACTTCGGCTGACTTCTTAGCTTTTCAGATCGCTGTCAAATTGAAGTCGCAATAATGTAAATAGGCTTTGGGTCTATACATACAGTATTAATCATAATAATCCTTACATTTGGTACAACACTTTTCACATCAGCAGGACATCTCAAATCGCTTCACAGGATTTTCCTGTAAAGTGGAGTGACTGTGTAGGTTGTGGGCGAGTGCTGTGTTCTCATGAGCTTGTGTTTCCTCCACAAAATGCTGCACTTTGTGAGAACAATCGCAGGTAGTTGCGTAGGGGAAGCAATGGTTTCATCAGTTTCTATAGCGAGACTTCTCGCTTTTGCCACTAACACTTCTGACCGGAGGGTTCGAGTGCCTCTGCGTGCTTGTGTGTGCGCTCGTGTGTGTAAAAAAAAGTATTAAATCTGGTTCCGAGCCACATTGGACATAAAATAAAATAAACCCAATTGAAACGCTTGATCTAAATCTCACGGAGAAACCTCTGAGCTGAGGACACGATTGGTTGGTGGGTTGAGTGACTTTCTCTTTTCAACAAAACGATCGGACCATTTCAAAACCCAACGCGATGTGTTGAGGTTTAGCAGCGGCTTGCACATGTGTCCAGCACAACCTTTCCCCTTCCCCTTTGCGTCGTATTCACATCACCCTCATCACAGCTCCACGTAAGGAAAGACTGTCCGGGTTTGATTTGGGGCTTTGGATGGAGGTGGGGGCGGTGCGGGGAGTGGGAGATCCTTGGAGGTCAATCCCAGCCCCCCTCCCCACCCCCATTCCATGGCTCCAGATGTGCAGCCCATCAACGCCGATCCTGATGGATCTCCATCCTGACCTGAGTTGCCGTCAAAGACTTTGTTGCAACTTTTTGCCACAAAGATGGATGGCAAAGGCGACTAATGCCAGGGCTTCAGTGCCAAACAGAGGCCTGAAGACCACAATTAACACAAGGCGTTAAAACCTTATTCCATACCTCACTAAAGCATGTCCCTTCAGATCACCGCTGGTAAAATCAAAGTACTCGTTGAATCACAGACAACACAATCACACGCTTTATTGCTTCAGTATTTGCCATATGTATTTTTCACACATTTTCTTGAAAGAAGCCTGAGGGTGACTGACATTTTCTGTGTAATCCTTCTCCCCTGAGCTTTGCTTTACTTATGCAGATTCCTTTTAATAACTTATTTTCTCTTATTTTTTTCCCTTTCCATCGCTTTCCCATCCATTTATCCCTTCAACCGTTCACGCATGGCAGGAGGAGCGCATATTCCTACTCATATTACCTGTAAGTACCACCTCTGGTAGAGATTTCCCTTCAAAATTGGTCTTTACGGACGTTTCATAATAGTGCCAGAGCTGCATAGATGAGATAATTAATAATAATATAATAATAATTAATAATAATAACCTTTGCATTTGATATAGCGCCTTATAATGTCTTTGAGACAGCTCAAAGCTCTTCACAGACGATACTGTAAAGTTAATGGACTGTGTATTTTGTGGGCAGCAGTGTACTGCTGTACTGCTTCTCGAGTTAAAGGCACAAGCCTGTTCAGATGTTCTAAGCTTTTTTTTTGCCTCATTCTGCCTTAATGTGCGAATTTAATTCAATTACAGCGATCGCGAATTTCGTTTGATTTGATTGAATTTGTCGGGCTATCGTCGTCCGGGTTTCTTCCCCCTATCCACCCATCCCCACCCCAACCCCGAGCTGGGAGTGACTGTTGTGTGGGATGAGGGAAGGAGCAGTGAGCAAAAATGCTTGCTCACTGCAGCAAGTTCAAGATGTTTAAAATAATCCTAATTAATAAGAAAGAGCCTTGCATTTGATGCAGCACCTTATGCCATCATCAAAATGCCTCAAAGACTGTGTGTTTGTTGGCGAATATATAATAACCCTTGCATTTTGGTACGGTGCCTTTCAAGTCGGGAGGACATCTCAAAGTGCTTCAAGGGATACACTGTAAAGTGTAGGAAATGTTTTGTGGGTGAATGTGGCAGCCAACTTGCGCTCAGCAATGTCCCAGAAACAGCCATAATCATACCACGTGGCTTTCATTTTGGTGTAAAACATTGGCCGTCGTAAACCTTGACAACGCTAGGTCCCAGCGGGGAAAGCCTATCTGACCGCAGTAAAGTCGTGCAGAGCTTGCCATGGCCAGTACCACTGGGTGTTGAGCTCCAAGATGGAAGAGCAAAGACAGCTTGAAATCCATGAGTTCCCATCACTGTGGTTTCAGAAACCTTCAATCTTTCCAGGCTTCAGCAGAAAGTGCTGTCAAAGAGGTTGCAGTGAACTAGTTCACTCCAACAAAGCATAAGCAGGGCGGAAGGGGGAACGTGAGAGAGAGGGAAGGGGGGTGGTGGAATAATAATAATAGTAATAATCCTTGCATTTGATAGAGCACCTTATCACGTTTGTCGAGACAAATTCAATTAGGATATTTATAGGGGAGTCAAGGAGACGGATAGTTGGGAAGTAAGGGCATGGAGGTATGGAGAAAAGGCCAAAAAATGGGATTTAAAAGATCTGCCATGATCCAATAAATTGGCAAAACAGGCTCGATAGGTTGAATGACCTCCTTCTGTACCTAGGTCAATGGATTTTATTAGCCAGGGTAGTTTTTGATCCAGTTTGTCGTGGTTAGTGACAACATTCTTAATTATTCTTAACATTTGCTCAGCGAGAGTAATGTTAACATCATAACAAATGACCTATAGCTAGGTGCGGCCTAGATAGAAAGGAAGGAGGATGTAAGTCGAGGCAATGCACTGGCGCTCACTTGAATGGTATGAGAACAAATCACCCGAACACAATCGCACTTACTTCTGTTTTCTACAGCAATATATTCTACTGCGCTTCCTACTGATTCCTCCGGCGGTTTTCATCTACGTAGCTCCCTTCATGCAGGATAGAGTCTCGGAGTGTTGGCCGAATTCTTGGCCTCTCCACACAGCAGGGCATGTCTTTTTTCCCACTGCGGTGAATGCCTGTCTGTGTTGCACATGCTGTAAATTAACCATGTTCCTCAGTCACTTGCTCCTACTTCCTTCACTTCTTTTTTTACTGTCTCGTTCATCTGGTCACCCGCATCTGTCCCAAAGCCCGGCGTGGGATCTGAACCTTGGAGCCTTTTTTTCCGAATGGATGCGACTGTTAACAAAGCGTGAAGTGGAATAGGCAGAACAGCCTCGCTCCAACTCCAGTCGCTTTCCCTGGTTCAGAGTTGCTTCCAGCTGTCGTTTTTTTCCCCAGAGCTAAAACTAAAAGTTTTCAGCTCTGCCGAGTACCAGCCTCCAAGATTGAGGCATAAATTGGAAAAGTCTCTGGTTAAATCATGGCGAAAATAGGCACGTCATAAATGTTAGTTTCGCCCGTAAAATACATGGTTAATCCACTTTTAGAATATATTCTGAGGAGCACTTTGAGCCATCTCAATGCCGTGATAAGGCAAGGATTATTATTATTATTATTATTAGTGGTTAAATCAATACTGTATTCCTTTGTGAAAGATAAGGCAACATAAAATTATACAACCACATGATACAAAAGTATGTGTTTTAACTCTTTTTTCCACACATTTTTTGCACATAGTATTAAGTGACTTACATTTTAGACTCCCAAGTGTTAGGGGCAGCTGCTGTTGACTTCAAGGTGCTTTGAGACTGTCGTTTACTCACTGACAACAGCTATATTCGAGCTGTAGAGTAACCATTGGGATGTTTGTAAACCATTTCAAAAATGGGTCTCTCGCTTCAAGGCTGTTTGTGGGACATCGCTGTGCGCAAATTGGCTGCTGCGTTCAGCCTACAAAATACACAGTCACTGCACTTTAACAGCAAAACCCTGCAAAGCACTTTGAGACATCCTCCTGACATGATTTCAAATGCAAGAATCCCTCTTGTTATGAGTTATCAGTCTTGACACGTTTTTCTGTGTGTGATCGAGTGTAATAATCAATAACTTGATGGATTGTCGGCTGTTTTTTTCAGGGTTGAGACGTGATTGTACCATTGAATTCTACCCTTTTGTCATTTTTTTGGGTGTGAAAGAAGTACAAAAAAGCGTTATTAACGCCTTAACTGTTTCACTTCTGATGCATCAATTTTTTCCATTCAGTTCAGGGCGCAAAGCAACAATCTGAATTGAACGGGTTTCAGTCGAACGACAGCGGAAACGCAGAAGTTTTTTTTTCACCACTGACGAAGGGGTGGGTGGGGGGGGGGAGTAAGAAAAAAAAATTTACAATGATCTTTTACAGTTGTTTGAAAGCCAGATGTCAGCAGGAAGCTGCCCTGTGTTTAGTGCTCAGTCAACCACAAATCTAAGACTCCTTTGCTTTCTATGAACCTGGGCTACACTCACTCATTGCGGTTCTATTCACCTGCTCTCTGGACCAGTAGAATTCAAGTAGAAATTAACTCTGTATTTTATTAGCTCCGTGTTTTCCTCCGTTTACTGAGAGAGAAAATTGTCCGTCATTTTTTTCAATAGCAATGGAATGCCCTCCTTCTCCCTTGCCTCCTTCAAGGCCCATCTCAAGACCCTCCTCTTTGACCGAACATTTGGTCACCCTACTCTCCCTGCTGCCCACCCCCACCCCACTCCTGAAAACAACCGCCCCAAACTCGGGTGCACATCCTTGGCTGTCCAGAGCCTTGGGACATCCTCCCGACGTAAAAGATGCTAAACAAATGTAATTTGTTATTGCTGTTGTTGCCTTGTCCAGCATGTACGCAATGCGATTTAATTTATACACAGCACCTTTCATGTCGATTCCGGGGTGGGTTGGGGGTATGTCTCAAAGTGCTTTTTGGTGCTTGTATTTGCCATCCCGATCCTGGGGTTGGGAGCCAAGGGGTAAAGATGACCAAAAGCGCCTCACCTAATTTAAAAAAAGAAAATAGGCCTATCGAAGCTTCCTGAGCTATCCAACGGAACACCCAAGACCTGTTAAAGGGAATGTGTGGCCCACATTGACTGAGGAGCTTTCTAGCCCAGGGTGGTGTGTTAGGATTAGGGTTCCAGGGGCAACACTCCGATCCCCAATTTTTCTTGCGTGTCTCCCCTCTACCTGCTCCCAAACATGCAGCACTCGCACCCACCACGTTCCCTCACTCTCTCTCTACCCCACGCACCCTCCCAGCACATGGTAAAAAGACAGTGTTTGAGCGCAAACTCTAGCTGAGACCCAAATTTTGTTATTTGGGTCAAAAGGATTCAGATTTCATTGATTATCGCTATATAATTGTAAGATGAAGCTCAAAGTTTTCCTGACCATAGCTGGCTAACTATTTGTCCAACTTCAGGGAATGGTAGAGTTCAGCTTCCTCTTTGGCTTTGACTTAGGCATTCGCTGCCTTTGTTGGCTTTGCTGTCAGTCTCGGGCCCACGTTGAAAAGACTTGATTGACGGGGAAGGCAGACAAGGTGGTGAGAGTGAGCAAGAGAGTGAGAGAGAGAGAGAGAGCAGGGATCTGAGGGCTGGTTCTTCCTCCACTGTTCAGGAAGCAGCTTTGCTACACAACATTGTGAGAGGTTGAGTACACACGGAAAGATTGTGTAGAAAGGAGCTCAAAATTCATTCTCGTAGATGAATAGTAAATAGCCAAAATGTCAAAACGGTAAAATAAAACAGGCCAGTGTTTCCCTAAATAATGGATCGATGTACAAAGCAATCAGTACTTTGGATTATCGGTGAGAAAAAGTGAATAGTACTGATGGAAAGGTGGAAAGAACAACATTAACTGAGCTCAGAATGGTGTTAGATCTTTAGTGCAAACATTGCTCTGTAAATAAGCAAACAGTTGATAAGTTAAGTTAAGTTGAACACATGGTGATGGTGCTTGGCAATGGAATATCAAAATCAAGTCAACCCTCTGTGGCAGTCTCTAATCCGGTTCCTGAGCCAGGCAGGTCTGCAGTAATCCAGGGCACAACTGATGACAGCCCAGCCAACCTGACTCATCAGCAGGGCTTGGAGGGGGCAGAAGAGTCACTCGGGGCAACGTTTCTTCCCACTCAGCTCCTGTTAATCCTGAGGTTAAAGCCCTTTAAGGCTTGGGTGGCCCTCGCTGGACAAGCAATGGAAAAGCTTGCCAAACTGTGTCAAAGGGGAAAAGTTCAATCTTCATTCCCTGGCCCCAGTGGGTATCCTCTGCAGTTGGTTAAATAGTTAAGAATCAGATCAAATGGATAAAGTTGCTCTTAAATCAATAAGCTGACCTTCATTAAGCAGAGCTTTGTGTTACCTTTCCTGGGATCATTTCAATTTTTTGTTTTGCGTAAGAAGACAGATTACTATCTCCATTAGCTTGTGGCGACATATTGAAACAAAAATATGTTGATTTGGATGAGTCATATACTTAACGCAACCTTTTACAATATGCAGCGTGACCACCCCAGGCTCCGTTGCAACACGGAGACAAGTCTCCAGAGGGATGGAGAACAGATTGTTGGTAATTTCGCTTTGCCGGGGAAGCTTAATGAGGTTAAGTAACCTATTGGTGATCTCAAGAATGATAAAGGCAGTCTAGTCATCCAGGCTCAATGCATAAAATTAATTTCTCAATCAGCTTTCACTACACAGGACTGAGAAAATGTTCCATCTTACGAGCAGACTGTTGAGAGAGTAGCTATAATGAATGGAGTTATAATGAAGGAAGATCTCAGTAATGGAAACCATGAGAAGAAAACTTCAGCTCAAGGCTAATGGATATTGGGGTATGTTTTAAGCAGTGCCTAAGGGGATGTCTGAGACACTATCCTGCTTGATGCCAAAAGTATGGATAATAATAATAACCCTGACATTTTAGAAGCGCCTTTCACCTCGGAATGACATGTCCAAGGGCTAACATGATACACTGTGACGTGTAGTAACTGTGTGTTTTGTGGGTAAACTAAGCAGGAATTTGAAAGAGGCTAACTGGAGCTCTTTGCCATCCCAAAATGTGCCTGAGGTTTGGCTCAGTTGGTCGCACTCTCGCATCTGAGACAGAAGGTTGTGGGTTCAAGCCCCATGTCGGGACTGAGATCACACAGTCTAAGGTGACACTCCAGTGCAGCGCTTGGGGGAGGGGGGTGTGTGGGGGGGGGGGTGTTACATTGCTAGACTGTTCAGGTGGACGTTAAAGACTCCCATGACACTACTCAAAAAGAGAAGGGAGTTTTGCCCATTGTCCTGGTCAAAAACTCCCCAAATAAAAAATGAGTTACTCGTTCCTGTTTGTGGGGTTTTGCTGTGTGCTGCTGCATTTCGCCCACAAAATAAACAGTCAATCCACTTTACTGTGCAGTATATTCTGTGAAGCACTGTGAGGTGTCACAACAGCATGATAAGGCGCTACATCAAATGCAAGGGATTATTATTATTTTATTAGAAAATCGATAATTAATAATGAATTGCTGTTATTGAAGGGTAAGGACATGACATGAGCTGTAGACCCATAACCTGGATTTCTGAAATTGGGGAAAATGTGGAATGCAATTGACGGATCATTCCATTGAAAAGATAAATGATCCATCTCAAAATGACCTGTCTGCACCAGGAGATGGTTGCTTTTGTTACTCCAACGGGTGTCAGAGCTGGAGAGCAGTGCAAACGATACATCAAATATACGTTACAAACTTCCAAAAGGTAATTTAAAGGTTACCACACAAGAAAGGTTTCCCAGAGTAATTGACTTGTAGAATAAAAGGGTAAATGCAACACACAATTTACGTTAACACGCAACCTTTCATGACAGCAGGATGTCTCGAAGCACTTTTACACAGCTAGCTGGCTGGCTTGGCAAATAGGAATCCAGATTTGTTTGCGGGTAAAGAAAGTATTGACGGAAACAATGAGTGAAAGCTCAGGTCTCCTCAGGGTTTCTTTCACCCCCACCCCCCCGAAACTCTGAGCTGTTCCTTGTGTTTTATTGTTGATCCGAACAAGGACTTCTAAACAGTCTTGAAAGCACTGAGCGAGAGCAATGTGGCGAAACGTGGCTGCGTCACAGAGATTTGAGGTCTTTAATAAGCGTTATTGATGCTTAGCACCTGGGCAAAGGCCTTGTAATGTGGACAATTACAAGGTTAATGGACACGGTGCTGCAATTGCTACAGATGATTACACTGTGGATAATCTAATCAGCGTAACAGCGGTGAGGAGTGGTTGTTACTCTATCCTGGAGAGGTGCCCACACAACATGAGGGGGTGGATTAATAGGAGACACCAGACGGTGTTGGCAGACGTTGAGAAAGTCAATCAAGTGTTTCTGTGTATGTCAGCTGTGAGAACACACTAGACTTGTGTAAAACTGGGGACACCAGGTATCAGACTGTCCACAGAGAAGGGAGGGAGGGGGAAGTTGACCGAGTTCCTTTTTCTAAGTGTCTACTCATAGCTGACATAACCAATTGATTGACTTTCTCAATGCGACTGAGCGATTTGTACATGTGTGAATGGCTGGTGAAGGGCTCTCTATAAATGTAAGTTGTTTTATTGTTTGTTTGTTTGTTTGGTTGGTTGTTGTTGTTGACGAGGGTTGGCCTTCACTCACTCACTCACACAGTCGCTCACTCACAGACAGTCGCTCACGTGGTCACGAATTCACTTGCACAGTAGCTCACACGGTCACTCACTCTCACAGTCACATTACTCACTGTTCCTTAGGTTCCAGCATGGAGTCTATGTACTTTGAGTGAGATAACGGTTAGTGAACCGTTATCCATGACATTGTAGCCAGGTTGGAGTTGCTGCAATCTGGGGAAAAGGGTGGGAATCGAGGGGAGAAGATTGGAGAAGAACAAACAGCCCAAATTAAGGTTTTGTCCCCAAATGTACAAAAAATGCCAATACCTGCTCACCCACAGTATTCTGCTGTGTGTGTGTTGTTTGTGTGTGTGGTGTGAGTGTGTGTGTGGGTGTGTAACTTTCACTCTACCCAAAGAGGAGAGGATGGCAGTAGGTTTATTGCAGTTCAAGACTTTTAAGTTAATTTAGTACGGCAGAAGGAATTAAATGCCAACCATTGTATATCTCTCAGTGAGGCCCAGATTCCAAGTTCCTTGCAGAAAAATCAACTAACTCGGCTGTTTCGGAAAGATCTGGCGGTAATTTGATCTCTGATTTTATTAAAACTATAAAACACGCTCTATGTAAAGCACAGGGCTTTAATTCTGTGTGCAGAGCATTCTCTCTCTCGTGGAGACGCAGAACCAACCCGTGAACCCGAACCGCTTTCTTCGCCCCCTCTTGTTTGAAGCTGGTTATTTGTCTTTCGCTAGTTATTGCTATCGGATCTCCGCCAAGCGTGAAGATAATTCAAGCAAAATTAATATAGAAATGGGAATATTTGTAGGTTCTTACCCTCCACACCCCACCACCACCACCTTCTCCCTGAGGATTGTGATGCGATGGTTGACAGATATGTTTTGAATAGAATATTCGACACGAGAGAAAGAGATCCACGGGTTTTTTTGTTTCAATGACGGAGGGCTGTGTTTGTGATATAGTGCCTGGCACATCTCAGGTGGGCAACTCGTCTTCTGACGCACTGACGCCATTTTTTTCTGCAAACTTTGAAGGAAACTGGCGAAGAAACAAAAAGAGACGCAGAACAGCACCCAGCGAGAGATGGGACCGATGATAACGGCTACAGACAAGAGTTGCAGCAAACACGCCTCAGCTGAAAGAGACGAAGCCTGTGAGTTCCCTTTTCCGTCGTTAATTCACAGTAGGCAAACGTTGCAAGCCTTTCATTCCCATTTCCCAGTGGCCGGGGCTTTTAACGTCTGAGAATGTGACTGTCACGTGAGTCTGTCGCAATGTTTAGACACTGCGCCCTGAGTGATGCAGCTCAACAATGAGCAGAATGTTTCGCTTTCCTTCACACACAAACACACACACAAGCTCAGCAAAACACATACAAACACACACACAAACACACACACACAAACTCAGCAACACACATACATACAAACACACACACAAACACACACACAAACTCAGTAACACACATACAAAGACACACACAAACTCAGCAACGCATACGCACACAACACACTAAATACACAAACTCATCAACACACACAGACACACAAACTCATAAAAAATAATAAATAATAATAATAATCCTTGCATTTGATATAGCGCTTTTCACGTCTTCTAGACGTCTCAAAGCGCTTCACAGAGTATACGGTAAAGTGAATTGACTGTATATTTGTGGGCGAAACGCGGCAGCCAATTGCGCACAGCAGCGTCCCACGAACAGTTGTGGATTGAAGACACGCACACACACACAAACTCATAAACTCAGACCCACACAAAAACACACACAGACACACACAAAAAGATACATAGACACACGCACAAAAAGCCACATCCACAACACACCAAAGGCACACACAGACACACACCAAACACACACGCAAACACACCAAAACACACAAACACGCACGAAAACACACACACACACACAAATAAACACACACGGTAACACCCACACACACATATATAAGAAATAGCCACAGGGTGCTCCCTGCTGCTGTCTAACTGGTTCTCCTGAGACGAGAGCTAATAGCAACTCTGTCACCTCCGCTCACAGGACAGACATCGCATCCCCAGGAATATTTGTCCCCGTTGCTGCTGGCTATGGAGAGGCTGGAGTGAGACCAGCAGTGAAGGGAATGGGGCTGACTATACGCACGTTCAGTTACAGACACACCAGCAGCAGATCAGTCAGGCCCCGGGGATCGTGCGCTCGACAGGCTCAGAGCGGAGTTTCTCTCGCAGGCGCGAAGTGACCCGTGTTCCATTTCCAGTCGTTTCTATTTCAGCCTCTTCGTTTATTTTCAGCGTCCGTTGCATTGGCTGCCACGTTTCGCCCGAGAAAATATACCGTCAATTCACTTTACAGTATATCCTGCAAAGCAATTTGAGACGTCTCGAAGACGTGATAAGGCGCCGTATCAAAAATGCAAGGATTATTCTTGTCCAAGCTTTGATTCTCAGGCTCACCTCATCGCTCGTTTCTGCTTCTTCGCAGCCCGAAAGTTTAAGCCCTTCTGTGTTCTATGTGTCTCTCTTTCTCTCTTTGTGTTGTGTGTGTGTCTCTCTCTCACTCTCTCTGTTTTCCTCTTTGTAAGCGTCTCTCTGTGCCTGTGTGTGTGTGTGTGTGTGCATGTGTGTGTGTCTCTCTCTTTCTTGCACGGGAAGCATTTTAAATCGATTGATTTGGTGCAAAGTTACAAATTCAGGACAGACACCTTGAAGTACCTCTCCGCCTAAAGAATAATTAACAGGTGAAACGGGTTACCAGTTATGGTGCAAGTTAAACATTAAGCATAGCGAATCTTTTACATCCAACTGAACAGACACAGACGTGACCGGGGTTTAACATCTCATTCAGAGGACGGCATCTCTAACCATGCAACGCAGTGCTGCATTGGAGCGTCAGCCTAGGCTGTGAGCTCAAAGTCCTGGCGTTGACGTTTTGCACGCACAGCCTCCTGACTCAGACTGAGCCAGTCTGTAGAAAATAAAGGTTAATAATCAGGACTATCCAAAAAAANCAAGTGAACTCCCCTTTTACTATAGTTATCATTTAATTATCCCATAAATCATCCAGTGAAATTCGTCGAGGTGAGAGTCAGAAGCCTCCAACTCTTGTTTCAGCCACGAAGCTCCACTTCCCATCCTCGTCTTTCACCATGAACATGCCGTATAAATGGCACCAGTTATTGTTCAGGAGCCTGTTTAGACAACAGACGATAATTGTGCTGAACAAAGAGGTTATGTGTTCTCAACTGCACGCTGCTGCAAATTGATTCATGACTGGAGTAGACAAGAACAACAACAACAAATTGTATTATTATTACACCTTTCAACATCCAAGGATGCGCACTCCACCTCACTGAGCCAGTCCAGAACCTTGGTGTTTTGTTTGATCCTCAACTATCCTGTCTACCCCACATCCGTGCCATGACCTGCTCTGCCTCCCCCACCTCTGCAACATCACCCGGCTCCGCCACTGTCTCACAGCACAGGCCGCCGGGACCCTCATACACACATTCATAATATCCAGGCTTGACTATCCAGGCTCATCAGGCTCCGCAACCCTATCACCCCCATCCTCACCCGACTCCACTGGCTTCCCATCACACAGAGGATACAGTACAAAATCCTTCGAGACCCATCTCAAAACCCTCCTCTTCAACAGTGCCTTCAGTCACATTCCTTCCCTCCTGATCTCCACCCTCGTCGATCCCAGCCCCCAGCTCAGGTCCAAAACACTGATTTTCCAGCGCCTTGGGACGTCCTCTCGACGTGCAAGGTGCTATACAAATATAATTTTGCTGTTGTTGTTTCACGTCAGGTGGACATCCCAAAGGGCTAGGATAGGCAGCTAAGAAAAAACTTCCTGGTGTCTGTCCTGATTTTCAGTCTTATTTTGAATCCAAAAGTCTTTGTACAGTGACTACTGTAGAATGCTTTGATAAGACTCAATGACGTGATGAGGTGCCTTAATTAAATGCAAGGATTGTGATTATTATAATACAAATGCAAGTTATTGTTGCAGTTATCTGTTGCTGTACGGCGGTTATCAAGCCATCTGAACATCAGAAATCATTTTGCAATTGTCCATGTAAATGTTCGAAGGTTGACAGATTTCATTACTTGGTGAATTGACTGCACAACACAAAGCCACACACAAAGGCACACTCTGCCAGTGAAAGATCACACTGTCATTGCTCTTTAGAAATATCTAGTCTAATCTTCAAAATTTTTGAATTTTTTTTTGCTACAACAATTCAGTAGCAGAAAAGATTGCAATCGGTGGGATGTAGTCTCTCTGCCACACAGTTTTCACTGAGGATTGAAACAGTTGCTCGTGGGAGCCAAGATGATTTAGCTGGTCATTACAGGGGCTGATTTTCAATGCTTGTGTCGTTTCTGCTCAGCTTCAATGTAAATCCTCCCATTTGATACAGAGCCTTTCTTTCGTCTCAAAGCGCTTTCACGGACTTTACTGTAAAGTGGAGTTTTGCGTGGACGTGAAGGACAAACATGAAGTGAACGATCGGTTTTATTGGGGGCAGGGTGTGGGGGGGTGGAGGGTTGTTTGTTGGCAAAGACACCAGGAGAAACTTCCCTCATAAGGCAGAAATGAAACGTCTGGGAAATCAAGAAACAACCTCTTGCTTGTATGTCTTCGAGTCCGCGGTTGCAGTATTGACCTGTCTCTTAACGTCTGTGTCTGTGATTGATGGTGACCAATAAGTCTTATTTTCTTTAACATTTGTTTCCGACCAGCTACCTCCTCCGCTTGTCCCTTGTCTGTCCAAAGCAAGACAATTCAGTGTAAATCTCTGCTCAATTTGTGTTACTGTCCAAACACTGGAGCCAGAGGACACGGCCTGCGATTGAACAGCGGGGAATAAATTCAAAACAAATCTGCGGAAACACTATTTCAGTGAGCAAGTAGTAAATATACGGAACAGTTTCACTGGGGGACGAGGTTGGGGTGGGGGGTGGGTGGTTGTTGGAGAAACTACCTTCGTAAGGCAGAAATGAAACGTCTGGGAAATCAAGCGTTGGTTTAAGATCAGTTTCACTCTCGGCCTTAAAACATAGCTCTGCGTTCAGCCGAACCTCAGCTAAGAGTGATGCATTGAACGTAACATTGGGCTTAATAAAAAGTGTTCACAGGCTAAGCATTGGTGAGTTTGTCAAATTTGAACGAATTTCTACAAACATGATTTGGATCGCTATCCACCAAAAATGGGATTGCACTCCAAGCAGAGCACTAAAGTTGCAAATGCGTTGCAATAATTCAATGGAGAGCGATCCTCTGTGCCTTTAATAGTCTCCCAGCCAGAGAGACATAAGCTGGGTAAGACAGGTGGAGTATTCGATAGGTTTATATGCAGTGAAGTCACGTCCCCCAACACAGCCAACACTTGCTTAAAGGAACATTCTCCACTGTTCACGTTACGAGCAAGTGTAAGTACTTCTGACCACAAAACAAAAAGCCACTCTGGGGCACTGTCAGAGCACGAGACATCAGAAGCGCAGAGTCTAACCTCCAGCAGAATTACCAGCGGAGATCAGATCAGCCCGGTCCAAAACTTGTGGCATGTTGCCTTGGTGTAAGGTAGTCGTGTTACAGAATCTAAGCTTTGACCAGTCTGAAATGCGGCGAGGGTGAGACAAGTTTCATACCCTCCACCCGTTTGATTTAAGGGCGCCTTCTCCTTCGCCCACGTTACGGTGGAGTTTTTTTTCACCAGAGTCGACTAAAGTTTGTACAATTTTTGAACTCAATCGCCTGTATCCCCGGGTTTCAATACCTTTCTCACGAGTACTCTTTCTTGAATTAGCAAGTTTAGAAATGAACTCGTTTCTCCCATTGTTTCACCAGGATTTTCTGCGACGCTGGTTAGAACAAAGCGATTTTATAACATTGGGAAATGATTAACTTTCTCTTTGTCTTTCCTCACCTTCTGCTAACCGTGTTCTCGGATGGATTTGGGAAGCACAGTGTCTCCCGAACCAGTTGAGCCCAGCACCATAATAGGTGAGAAACTATGGCTAAGTTATTCAATGCTTTTGAAAATACATTGCTGTTCAGCATCATTATAGGAACAGAGGGAATGCTTTCGTTTGGATATACGTGATATATATTTTTCTTGGCGGGGGTGGTTTCGTCAACCACACGGGCACTGGATGTTGGATTTGTAGGTTGGTTATAAATGCACAGTCACTACCATTTACAGTATATTCTGTGAAGCGGTTTGAGACGTCTCGAAGACGTGATAAGACACTGTATCAAATGCAAGGATCATTATTATGATTATTATTATTATAGATGAGAAAAGACCAAGGTCCACCCAATTCGCCTTCCACCATCCTGGCAGTCACATCGACATGTCATGTCCTGAACTACTCATACACTCTATCCCAGAATAATATTTTCTAAAAGAAATCTATCTAATTTCATTTGAAAGAATCAACACTTCCTGCTTCCCCATCTCCTCAGGGAGCCTGTTCCACAGATTTACCTATTATATAGTCCCACTTATAAAGTTCTTGCAAATTGGCTGCCTCGTTCGCTTACAAAATTCACAGTCACTACACTTTACAGTAAATCCTATCGAGTGCTTTGAGACATCCTCCTTACATGAAACGCGCTGTATCAAATACAAAGATTATTAGTACTAGTAGTATAAACCGTACATTTGATATAGTGCCTTGTCACGTCATTAAAACGTCTTGAAATGCTTTGCAGGGGAAGGGCCGGAGTGTAGTGACTGTATTTTGTAGGCGAGTAACCCTGAAAGCTGCAGTTGCAAAACGCTCGGAGGAGAACAAGCGGTCTCAAACCCTTGCTTGATACATCCAAATCTATGTAGAATTCGATTGCTTTTCCAGCCTTTTCCAAAGAACAGCCAAACAATAACTGACACAGCTGGGCGCAAAACTATTAGGTGTAATCATCTGGAGCAATGTCAGTGGGTGTGTAAAAGAGACTGAGATTTCATATCTTCGGGTCGGCACACAGCTCAGTTCCGTTCACTTGCCTCTACCCACAGGGGAAGGAGGAAGATTCGTGCCTCGTCCTTAAACTCTCAGGTGTGAAATGAAACTCGCAGAAGAAAGCGAGTGAGTTGACTAAGGAAACTTGCCTAAGGTTTCACTCCACACGGGAATTCAACCCAGAGCTTCTCACTTGCGAGGCAAGCATGCTAACCTCTATGCTACGGGAACTCCACATTAATTAGAGGGTATAGGAAGGGGGAGCGGGGGCATGAAAGAGCAGGGATTTGGAATTAGCATGGTTGGTTTCTTGAAAGAGTGACACCAAAAGAAGGGGGGAAAATGGGCTGAATGACCTCCAACTGGGTGGTACATTTCAGCGGCTCTTTGAAATGGCAAGGAACTCGCTCTGGGCTCTTCTGCAGTTTGACAACGCTCAGCGGTCGTATCAATGTCCACAGACAAGGGTAAAAACAAGAGTTTCCTCAGGCAACGCGTAAATAGTGATGTGCGACCAGGAAACGAAGCAGATTTAAATTAACCTCCATTTGCATCCGTTTAAAGGGCACATGTACAGAACAACAACAACAACATTATATTTGTAAAGCACCTTTCACGTCGGGAGGACGTCCCAAAGGCACTGGACAGTCAGTGTTTCGGACCCGAGCTGGGGGTCAGGATTGGGGAGGATGAAGGGCAGAAAGCAACTCTATTCCAATTCTATTACAGAGAAGCCATCAATTTATGAATGGTTGGCATCGGTGGTTAAGCTATTCAAATGTATTCGTTTACACACACCACACATAATGGGATTTTATAGTATAGAAGCTTCTTAATACTTTGCTGGAATCAATGTAATTGAATAATAAGTTTTCTATTTTCATATTAACCTGCTTTTAATGACAGCAATTCCACTCCACTCCCCCCCACCACCCACCACCACAACCCTGCACAATTCACTGCACATGCGAATTGATAAAGATTTTTATCAAACCAATTAGTAATGAATAACTGTTCATCTTTTCTAAGATCAAGACGTTTAAAAGCACACTGCGCCATCTCTTTGAAGGCAACACTCATGCCTTAAGACAATATGGTTCAGAAATTATACAGGGCAAATGCGAATCTGTCATTAATTTCTAACTATTACCATATGTATCAAAGAATTTTTTTTCTGGCATGTCATCTTATTCAACCATCCACTAGCCGAAAAAAGTCAGTCTTTATAGGGACATTCAGGAGAAGGACATTCAGCCCTTGGAGAGTTGAGACATTCAGCCCTTAATCAGATCATGGCTGATCTGTACCTCAACTAATTAGTCAGTTGATTAAGGCACTAAGGTTCGTTACTCAACACGTCTCTGTTTACCTAACAGTAAGTAGGAACCAAGGTTCCAAGCAGGAATCCCTCAAAAAACAATTTGGTCGCTCGGTCCACGACTGTTTGTGGAACGTTGCTAGGCACAATTGGCTGCTGGGTTTCGCCCACAAAACAGAGTCAATCCACTTATGACAAAAGGTCATAGACCTGAAACGTTAACTCATTTTCCTCTCTCAATGGATGCTGCCTGACCTGCTGCAGGTTCCCAGCACCTTATGTGTCTATACCACTTTACAATATATTCTGCTCAGCCCTTTGAGACGTCCCAATGACGTGACAAGGTGCTAAGTCAAATATAAAGATTATCATTATTAATGATAATTCCCTTCCTCTGCATGTGCTTTGCCCAATTTTTCAAAATACCTTCTTCCCCCATCCCATTCTCTGCCACCTGTCCTTCAACTGTTCCTCTTTCCATCCCACACTGGATAAAGATGGACTCCAAGCGATGCTTAGATCAGAAAATGCCTCGCGCAGGCTTGTGTCGGGATGCAACCGATGATTTATTCACTGTGATACCTTTTATTTCTGTGGCTGATCAATAGTGACTGCTCTGCGCGCTTCACAGTACATTTTGGCACCATTGAGTCCGATGCAGCATCAAGTAGCTTTTCTTTGCAATGAGTTATCGGAAACATCCCTTGTGAGACACGTTATTGCAAATGAAAAAAAAACACAGGTTATTGGATCTTTATTCGAGTCTACACATGACTTGTATTGTAAAGATAAGCCTTGTCTTATAGTGATACAATAATCATCCTTGCATTTCATACAGCGCCTTCTAACGTCGTTGAGACATCTCAAAGCTCTTCACAGGGTATACTGTGAAGTGGTGTATTTTGTGGGCAGGGTAATTTGCGTACAGCAATCTCTCCGCAAACAACCATGGACTGAGTAACCTATTTTGCCTTTGGTCTCAGCAAGTCCCTAAAATATCTATCTCGCATGCGTTCTTCTTTGCATTTAAATCTTGAGCCGGGTTGCTTGCCATGTGCTCGCACTGGTTTTGAAAGGCTGCCTGTCTGTCATTGAGAGGACCGTGGACCAGGTCTGGGTAATGAGTGAATTCGACTTCTCTCCCTTCTCCAGTTCTGATTACAACAGATCACGATCCTCGCGTTTGACACAGACCCCCTTATCACGTCCAGAGACGTCTCAGTGTAGGTGGCAGGATTTCACTGTTAAAAGCCGTAACTGTATTTCGTAGGCGAACACGACAACCGGTGTCTCACAAGCCGCCATGGAGTGAACGTCCAATTTTATCTGCGGGGGGATTGTTGGCCAGGACACCGGGAGAAACTCTTGTATTGTTTAACAGGACCAATAGATGATATACTTTTTGAAATTCTATTTAAGGAGGGAATGTTTTTTTCCTGTGCTTTTTTTTTTCTTCATTGTTCGTGTAGCATTTGAACTTGCAGTCTATTTGCGCACATGAAAGAGACACACCATGAAATTCGTGCCTTGACATCGCAGAGGGTCTAAAATATAGCCGTGAGCCCAATGCACTAGAACAATACAAAAGCACCAAGTAATGGCCAACTGTTCACATTCGCGCTAGTGTTGCCATAAATTTCCTTTAACTCTGTCAGCGTCTCATTGAGGGGATGATTGGATGAAATTATAATTTCTGCAGTGCCAGCCAATCGCCAATGGATTGATAGATATCTTCAGGAATATTTGAGATCACTTTAATAAGTAAAATAGTGACCTCCTGTGGCAGAGAGTGGGTTCTGCACTTAGTGTTTGCGAAACTTTCTGAGTTAGGGATACAATAATCATAATAATAATCCTTGCATTTGACATAGCGCCTCTTGAAGTTTTCGAGACGTCTCAAAGCGCTTCACAGAATATACTGTAAAGTGAATTGACTGTATGATTTGTGGGCGAAGACATAATAACACGGTAATAATAATCCTTGCATTTGATACAACGCCTCTCATGTCGGGAGGACGTCTCAAAGCGCTTCACAGGAATCACTGTAAAGTGTCGTGACTGCGTATTCTTTAGGCGAATCACACTCTCCGGCAAATGGTGCTTCCTGTGTGTTAACTTCGTAATTTAATTCAATCAGGAAAACTATTTTTTTGTCAGTTTATTCCTTTATCTCACCTTACATTTTCCTTTCTCCTTTTGTTGCTTAAGAGGAAAGATAATAGTTGACACCAGAAACTGGGGATGAATTTGGGGGGTGGAGGCATGAAGGGTGGGGCATAAAACAATTAAACTTGAATGATGGAGAACGATCTTCATCTGGTCTGCAACGTAGGAGGTTAGCCAAGGGAATTTCAATGTGTAGATGGCATAAGTGGAACTCCCAGGCAGGTTTGCACGCTCTGAGGTATGGTACTGAGAGGTTGGAGATTGCTTGTTATATTGGTTTCCTTTCTATTTCCCTGAACGTAGCCAGCAACCACGAGGATATCAATCAGCCAACGCGAGTGGTCCAGACTCACTCCTATAGGAACTGTGAGCCTGTTGAAATGTCCTATCAGACAGGACACCTTCAGCCCGCCATCAGAGTGGCAGACCTTCTGCAGCACATCACGCAGATGAAGTGTGGAAAGAGCTACGGATTTAAAGAGGAGTATGAGGTAAGGCTGAGTTTAATAATGTCACAACAACTCGCGTTTCTCCAGCGCCTTTGACGTCCCGAAAGCACTCGGCAAAGTCTGATTGATTTTGAACGAAAGTGGACGTAGCAGCTAATCTGCGCCAGCTCGATAAGGCGCTGCATCAAACGCAAGTGGTTGCTCGTCCTTCCCGGCTGTTTGTGGGACATCGCCGTGCGCATAACTGACTGTCACGTTCACCTGCAAAATACCAGGTCACTCCACTTTACAGCAAAATCCTGTTAAGCGCTTTGAGACGTCATCCCGACGTGAAAGGTGCCCAGACCAAATGTAAGGATTATTGTTCTAATTATCATTAGAACGATGTCTCGGAAATAACAAAATGCAGAGGGAGTTATTAATTGTAATTTTAAGCCTTCCTTCCTTCATTGCTTCCCACAAACATCCCCCCCTTAATTGGTCTTATTCTTTGAACGATTTTTGTTGAAACAACGGTCGCTCAAAGGTCCCATTGGAAAAATAAACTGAAGAGAGATTGTGAGGCTGTGCTGTGAGAGGGAGCTGGATTACAATCTGTATGAGAGAGAGTTACCCTCAGCGTTTTAGTGATTTTATCGTCGAGGTAGGATTAATTTCTCCCCCACCGCCCACAATGATAGCACCAGCACTTATTCAACCTGTGCGAAGTAGATAAGGCGAGAGTCAAAGTCACAGCCTGTGTACAGTGCAATAAATCTCTTTCTCATTCAATGACTGGGCGAAGGACTGAACAATACATTCAGATACCCTGAGGCAGCAGAACAAGAGGGCAGAGGTTTAGGGCGGCAAAGGAAAGGACAGAAACCAGGAAGTATTTCTTTTACCACAAGGGTGATTAATGACTGAAATGGGGTTACCGGGAAAGGTGTTTGAGGCCGGGATGCTGGAATCATTTTCTTTTGAAAAGCTCGATGCTGTGATGGTAAGCGCTACGAGACGCCACCCTGGGTGATGGCCGCTGCTGTTGTTGATGCTAGAGCAGGTTTTCTGGAAGGAGGAGATCAAATGGGCCAAAGGGTTTTCTGAATCCAAACCAATCTCCGCTCAACTAGCTCCAGCCTTCTGCATGACCCTCGCATCCTCCGTTCCGCCATTGGTGGCCACACGGTCACTCCAGACAACCGTGGTCTTCACTCCCTCTCTCCCCTCTTTCAAGGCCCGTCTCAAAACGTACATCTTTGACCACACTTTAGGTTATCTTTCCTCTCCTCAGCTCTGGTGCACGGTGCAGCATTCTCAAGCTTTGGGATGTGAAAGGGATTGTTGACTGTAAACTGGATTGGATTGGATTGTCTCTGTAAAAGTTCAGCCCACACACTAAATCTTTGAAAGATCAACAGCAAAGAGTATTAAGAGACAATGGACCATCCATTCCATTGGCCCTCAACAATTCTTGAAGGCTCCAATGTAGACGTCTCCAAATTGAAAGGCAGAAATTGTTTTTCACCGCTAAAAAAGGTTATTACACGTCCTATATAATGAAGATAATTGTATTATGTCAGGGAAATTGAACTGCAATTGATTGCTCAGATGCAATCGAGTTATGTAATAAAGGCTGGTTTCATTTTAAAACCATAATCCAGGACTGCTTGCAATTTTTCTTGGTGTCTTTTGCAAATTGGTAATCATCTTGTACACATCTGGCAGCGAGATTTTATCGTGATCTTTCACATTTTCACGATAGCACCACGCAAATGAGAGACTAAGCCAAGCTAGTCTATCTAAAAGCCAAAGTGCCATCCACTGTTGCTTAAGACATACCTCTTCGACCTCACGTACGGTCACCTCCCTCTCCCCCTCATGTGTAAAGTGAAGTGACTGTATGTTTTTTTTTGTGAGCAAAGCAATGTCTCAAAGCTTTCCGTGGGCGTTTGCTGACAAGCGTAGCGACTGTGAGCTTTGGCAAGGCGAATGGCGCTCCCATTCAGCAAGGTCACCAGCCGCTTGGTGAACGATCACGTTCTGTACAGCGCTCTGAGACTCTATCCTGCGTGAAGGCCACTATATCAAAGTCGCTTCTCTGTGTTGATTAAGACAAGCTTGCTTCTTCAGGCGCTACTTAAATGGGGCGCTGGTTGAGGAGGGTTGATATTGAACAGATCTTTTTGAGTAGCTCCCTGGAGGTGCCTTGGTACACACTGGACATTCTGGTCAAGGGGGTGGAGGTGGGGTGGGAGGTTGTGCGGGTGGGCGTGTGGGGAATGTGTGGGTTCCTGAATTACCTGAGGTTGGGGATAAGATTTCAGTGAACCGTCAGCAAGTACTGTCTGCATGTTTTATTGAACTGATCGGAGCTCATGTTTCTGAATCAGGCAATGAATCGGTCGTTTCTGAGCAGCTCTCTCTCCTCTGTGTTTTCACACAAGAACAATCTCCATCACGTATTTTGAGCAGTGGGTTCTGTCAGCGACCTTCCCTAGCAACAAAAGCTGTTGCCATGCAGCGGCTTAGGCTTGGACGGAGTCCTGGCTGAGTTCTTTGTTTTGCACTCGTTTTATATCAGCAAACGACCGACACAGATAAGGGTTTTACGGGTGGAATTTTTTCCGCAGTTAAAATCCTTGCACGTGTGGCAATAATAATAATAATTCTTGCATCACGTCTTAAGAGACTTCTCAAAGCGCTTCACGGAATATACTAATATTATTATTATAATACTGTAAAGTGAAGCAACTGTATGTTTCTGTGAGCAAAACAAGGTCTCAAAGCTTTCCGTAGGCGTTTGCTGACAAGTGTAGCGACTGTGAGGCGAATGGCGCTCCCATTCATGCGGACAGCAAAGTCACCAGCCGTTTGGTGAACGATCGATTAACCTGGAAGATTGCCAGCCGAGACATCCAGATTCTCTCCCAATACACATCGCCCCAGAGCCTGACATCAGGGCGAGTGACAGCTCAGATGAGCCAAACATCGTCCAGAGCTCACTCTCCCTGATGTGTGACACCCACGACAGCCAATTCCACCCTGATGTTTAAGCCCCAACAAAGTTTTTTAGTGCGCGTAGGTTTTATGCGCCAAGAGTGCCCCCCCCCGCCCCCAAACCACCCCCCACCACTCCCATTTTACCTGAAAATTGCCTTCCAGGGGTAATAATCCCTCAAAAAAAATTAAGAATGACAATAATTTGATCACTCGATCCACGACTGTTTGTAGGTCATTGCTGTGCGCAATTGGCTGCCAACAACTCAGTAGTGGTCTGTTTGGAATAACAACAACAACAACAACCACGACAAAATTACATTTGTATAGCGCCTTTCATGTCTGGAGGATGTCCCAAGGCGCTGAAAACAAGGAGTCAGCTGGGAGACAGCAGTGGAGTGATTGTGCCAATAATTGCCCTTTTTTTTGTTAAAAAGATGAAATGTGTCCTTTCACTGCATCGATCTCATACATTACGGTGTCTCCTCAAACACAAAAGCAAATAACTCTACACTCTCTGAAAGAGACCCATCATCCAGTCGTAGCACATGATTTTAGCTCCTTATCTCCCCACTCCCGACCTTATTCATTGTGATGTTTACAGGCAGCTAACTAAAAGCATCCATTATATCATTCAGAGCCACTGATTCCCAGTGTACAGTGGTAACTGCGATGCTTGTTTTTTTTTGTTCAGAATACAAGCGGGAAGCGAATCAATCCTCTGTGCCTCTCCGCCCCCCCACCCCGACATCAAACTGTTTTGTTCCTGGCAATTAATTTGAAGAACAGGAACTCAAATAGGGTTTATTACAGTGGTGAATGCTGTCTGGGAGAAGAATGAATTTCAGTTAAAAACGTGCTACTCTGCCTCAGGCTATGGCCAGCGCCTTGGGATGGCCTCCTGACATGAAAGGCGCTATACAAATGTAATTTGTTGTTGCTGTTTATGCGGTGTTTCATTGCCTGTCCCCCCAGTTTCTCAGAGACTGCGGTGGTGATATAACCTCTTTGCACCGCCACAGTGCTCAATAATAATAATCCTTGCATTTGATATAGCGCCTTATCACTTCATTGAGAAGTCTCCAAGTGCTTCATAGAATATAAAACAAAAATGAATTGACTATATGTTTTGTGGACCAAATGCAGCAGCCAATTGCGCAAAGCATCGTCCCACAAACAGTCGTGGATTGAGCAAGCAAATTTTTATTTTTTATTTTGAAGGGATTATTAGTCCCGGAAAGGTGATCCGCCGATCGACTAACAACCGGGTTCCTATTACTGCTAAGTAAACAGAGGCGTGTGGAGTAAGGAAACTTGCCCAACGTTTTGCCCTGCCAGGAATCGAACCCCCGGATCCTCTTGCTTGCGAGGCAAGTGCTCTAACCAATATGCTACTTGCACCAAAGCAACTCTTGCGATGCAGTTCGCTGCTATTTATTGCTAAAAGATTGAGAGCACAACCCCCTCCCTCCCTTCCCCACCTACTTTGATCTCATGGATGTTCTAGCACCGTGCTGGGGGGAGCACTGTACTGTCAGAGGTGTCGTCTTTTGGATGAATAATAACAATCCTTGCATTTTAATAGACCTCCATTTCATGTCTTCGAGGCGTCTCAAAGCGCTTCACAAGCAATACTGTAACGCGAATTAATCGTTAAATTGCGCTCCCGTCTATGCTCTGTCCAGGTAGAGATCCTGTGATGCTATTCGAAAAGAGAAGAGAATTTGTAACGGTGTCCCAGCCAACAATCTCCACAAATAAAATGAAGCATTCACGTCATGGCGGTTAAGGGGACGTTGCTGTGCGCAAGTTGATTGCAGTGTTCGCCTGCAAAATACACAGTCACTACACTTAACAGTAAATCCACTTGAGACGTGTTTGACATTAAAGAGCCATATCAAGTGCAAAGACTGTTAGAATCAATAGATCCCTTAACCATTTTGATTTCTCTATTTAGGTCAATTTCAGTAAACCGTCCAATAGATTTAACTATGCAAGATAAAATATTCAGTATCTCATTACCAGACCTCGATCTTCCCATAAAACCCATGTATGGCATTATT